AAAAAAAAAAAAAAGAACCTGTTTGAAAACATATGTGAATGCCAAAAGTTGTTAGATGATAATGAACTTGAATTTCTAATTTGATCAGTGGGTTTAGTTTTTTGGGGAAAAAAAGTCTAAAGAAGTAATTGCTTATTTTCAGTTCTTGAACTATGTGACTGTATTAACTATTTTAAAATTTAAACCAAAAATTCAAGACAGAAAGTCAGACCACTACTTTGAGAAGCAGATTTCCCCCCTAATTTCTGTGTTTCAAACACAGCTAGAGAAAACTCATTTAAAAATAAACAACATTAGTGGATGAAGCTGAAATTACCTATTTGATGAGTGCTTCTTAATATTTTAAAAATCTCAAGGACATTAATAGCCAACAAGAAAATATTAGGCAAAATATTTTCCCTTTAACAATAATCCCTTTTTCTGGTCACTAAATTCTGAAAATAAAGCACATGAATACTTGTGTTTAGCTATAACTTGGGCACTTGTTCTAATTAAATATAATCTCGGCAGCCCGCGTGTGTTCTCCCTAATTAGATATATTTTTAGCCATTAAGAAGATTCCCTCCTCATTTTCTGTTTTAATCTTATCAACTGAGTAGGAATATTTTTCTAAAGATTGAACAGATGGAAGAATTTATGCATTTGTACCTCTGGAAGTATAAAAATCAAAATAAGTTGCAAGAAAGGAGTTGGTATTTCTGGAATCTTGCAAAGCTGGTTTAATTTTATTATTGCCTGTAGTATGATATGACGTTACCTGTGGATTGTGCAACAAACTCCAAGGACACATTTATAAAATTCTGAGTTCTACCGTCATACCTGGGTGCTTTCTACGGAGATGGCTTTTTGTGTAACTAAACGCTTTGTGTGTAGTCTGCCCAAGTCCTGGGAAAACACAAAGGGTTTTCATTGTGATCAAGAAGAATTCAGATAGTTCTCAGAAAGTTAAGTTATTTACCAGGTGTGGGCTGGGGAGGGAGGGAACACTGCAAAAATAAAAAAATAAAGTTATTTGTTGACACATCTCTCTGGTTCTTTTTAGAATTCCATCAGTGGCAAAAGCTATTGATGATAAATCCAACGATGGCTGTAAATCCTTTGTTGACAATATCAGGGCAGCAGAAGACTGCAGTGGGTCCCTCACCATTTGAACCTCGAACAGTGGACAGGTATTTCTCTCCGATATAATATTCCAGTCAAAGGAAAAAAATGGATAATCTTTAAGCTAAGGATGTTATCCTTGGTGTTGTTTTATTGCCAAATGCTATTTCAGTAAATTGTAGTCAGTACAGTAATTCATGTTAAGGTACTCTGTTGGCCACACCCATCTCCCATCACCTCCTCTTCCAAGCCTGCTTGACCTACTCACTCAGCAAAGACATAACGAGCATTACTATGTGACAGGCACTGCACAGGTGCAGACATTGGATAACCTAGATTTCCTGTAATTGAACAATTCTTTCTTTTCAATAAAAGTGAAATTCTAACTACTTTGGTTGCATGTTCTGGTAGTACCGTGTCTTCCCTTCTTTAGAATATTTTGACATTCTGAAGAGAAAGTAGGATCCATTGTTTTTTCTTGCTCACTAAGTGTGAACAGTGAAGTTGGGCTTCTAGTGACCACTTAAGCTTGGTAAAAGAAAGAAATTGTCCATCCAGGTATCAGACACTGATCCAAGATGGCAAACTCAAGCCAAAGTATTTCCCTGAAATGAGAAAAAAAAAAAAAAAAATTGTGTTTAAAAAGTATAATAGTCATGGAAAATATAATACTGGTATTGATTTGATTAGATTTTCCAGACATCCCTAAAACTTTACTTTCCTGCTTTCTTGTTGTCTGCTAGATCAATCCTTCTTTGGTAAAGTCCTTCCTCCTAATATTTCTTACATATTTTTACTTACCCCAATAGAGACTGCAAGGTTTTGCACTTCATTTTGGGAAGAGATGACAGACTCCCATATGACAAAAAAAAAAAAAAACAGTAAACAAAACATACACACACATACACAACCACTGTGTAAGCAATGGCAATGAAGAAATTTTCCACAATTCCATCCTCATTTTATCTACTTTGTCTTTTGTTCCTAGAGATTTATTGCCTTCTACTGTAGCTCCAATTGACCCAAGACAGTTTTGTGTTTCTTCCCATTTTGGATCCTCTGTTATACCTACTGCAAATATACCGAACATGATGTCCAATCGTGTGTACTCAGGTAGGAGCAATAGATGCTCGACTTTTGTGTGTGAAGACACTTTGAACTAGTGTGCTGCACTGAGCTTGCTCTTAAGTTTACCACTAAATTTTAAAAGCAAAACTGTGTGGTGATTACACTACAGTTTCTGCAGTTTCTACCTGAGCTCAGCACATGGTCCTCCATTGTGTGATTACAGATAAGTTGCTTAAAACCTGTATGTATCAATTTACTCATGTATAACATGAAGAATTACAATATTATTGTCTGTGTATCTAATATATGAGGAATGTGAAGTCATGAAGAGATGAGATGTGAGAATTAATGGGGCTGAGGCAGTTTATATTTGTCCTGATACATCATAGTGAGGACTTGAGTTTTATTATGGTAAGATGGGAAGGTTTTATGGAATTTGAATGACATAGTCTGACTTGCATTTTACTAGGTCATTGGGGATCAGGTCAAGGAGAAATTCACGGATATAGTTTTTGAGGGATAAGATACTCTAGTTTGATCTTCAATGTTGGTAGGCAATTTGTCATGGAAAGGGTTTGACTTTGTAGTAGTGGATTAATCGTGCTTGACTACTACTCTAAAGATTGGCAGTTCAGAGTGACTAAGCAGGGCTGCAGAAGAAAGTCCTGTAATCTGCTTCTGCAAAAATTACAGCTAAAAAACCCTAGGGAGCAAGGTTGTGGTCACTACCTGGTCACAGCCAGCTACCCAGAGGGACCGAGTAGTTGAACCTGCGGACCTGGGACCATAGTCGCAGGGGACATCAAGCTCAGTTAGCATAACATACTATACAAAACATTGTTCCACCTCCTACTTTGGCAAGTAGTGACTGGGATCTTAAAAGCTAGCAAGCTGCCATCTAGATGCAACGATGGGTCTCTCCTCGCCAAGAGCAAAGAAGAA